TACCCTCAGGAAACTCCAGAAACAGAAAATACCAATTTTGCTAGTGAAAGCATGGCACGGTCTCCTACCAATTATAGTACAAGAGAAAGGCTCCCCCACGTCTTTGAGCAGAAAAAGCAAGAGAGGCCCCATAGATGGAAAAAGCACGATGAGGTATTCATCCTCTGTAAGCAGAGGAAGATTTGTTTCACTTCATGCTTCAGCTAAAGCAGTGCTAATGGCAGCACTCTATGTGACAAGGGAAGAGTGAAGGTATAAGCAGGAGAAGGCAAAGGAAGAAGGAAAAGAGAAATATTAAAACAGTGACTCACCTCGCTGACACTGGCTCTTCCAAAACCGTTTGCAGTAGATGATGGAGAGTGCCAGAAGTACCAGCACAATGATGACCAGGGCACTGCTGGTCAGTGCAAGAAGGGCTGTGTCTTGTGGTGGTACAGTGGGGACAGCTACCTTCACCAGGTTTATTCTGGACCGACCTGCAAACACATCGGGCACAAAACATTGGATCTTATTTCTGACGCATCAGGCCACTCCTCTTGCTGCCCTTTCTTCTTCTCATATAATGAATAGGCTTCCTTCAGCAGGTCTCCACAGGGCAGTGTTTTGGTGCTTACACCAGCTAATTAAGCTGGCCAACAAAGAAAAATGGTCAAAGAATGGTGCAAACGCATGTTTGAGTTCACGTCTGCCTTTGAAGCAGTCACGATGACCAGCGACGGATGCCAGCTGAACCTACACCACGAACCTGCTCCAGGAGGTCCCCACCACCCTGTGCCCCGTGAGCAGCTTGGCACCCTGTGGGCAGGCAGCGCCTCGGCTACGTACACTGCGGCTCCGAGGAGGGCGTCTGCTTGGTGCAAGGGATGCACTCCCAGTCGAGCTGCCCACTGATCCGGGCCTTTCGGTAGAACCTGCAAACAAAACGCAGAACGCGTCAACCTGAGGCTCCTGCCACCCCACCCCAGGCCTCAAGGCTCGAGGCTCCTGCACTGCTCAGCACCGGCTGGCTCGAAGCCTGACCCAACGCTGCTGGGAAAAGGCCACTGCTGCATTTACCAGGAGGCAGCTCAGAGAAAACAAATCCACCCGCCTTGGGGCACAGCATGCTGAGGAGCTGCAAAGCACAACGTGCGCCTCAAATGCTGCTCAAATTCAGCACTTTTTCATAGCTACAACCACCTTTGCCAGGAATCACTCTGGGACAGCTCCATATCTTGCCAGAAGAGGCTGGCAGTGATCACCAGCTCAAAATCACAGACCTCCAGCCAGCAAGGGTGGCTGAGCAGAGACTGAAGCACCCCAGGCTCTGACATTCATCCCTTTGTCACAAACTTCATACCTTGTCAGAAATCCCTTGTCTACAGCTCCATGGCATGGCACAGGCCGACTATATCACAGCAATACTCATTTAGTAACTTTTCAAAAAAATTAACTCAAAATGAACAGATGCAGAAAGCACAGCTACCTCCATACAACTGCTTGACCCCAGCAACTCGTCTTTCTAGGCCTTTCTATTGCCCTCCTTGGAGGCTACCAGTAGTAGCCCATTTCCTGGGCCTTAGCCATCCTGATGTCTACAGTCCTAATTTAGGCCTGGAAGGAATATTTCTCCACTGCTCATTCATAGGAGCTGTGAGGTTGTCTTCTTCAGCGCTAGAAGGGGGCATTTGATGGGTAAAATGTGCCTGCCATTAGCAGAGCCTTCAAAGGACAACTCTGGATCACACAGCTCCTAAATGCCATGCAACAAGTGGCCTCAGCCAAGCGCTTGCTCTGCCCAGCTCCTGTCTCCACTCCCTCCCCACTGCAATCCGTCCCGGGCCGCCAACTCCACTCACCCCGGCAGGCATTCCCCGCACACGGCATTGGCAGTCGCTGTGCAGTTGGATTTCTGGACACGGTTGATGAGGGTGCAAGACAGGCAGGGTTTGCAGCCATGATGTCCCCAGCTGTCCTTAAACTTCCTGGGAGGGCAAGCAACGCACTGCGCATCGCCCCCGCCACCATCACCACAATCCTGCAGGACACAAGGTTGGGTTCATGTCTGATGGGAAGCCACTTTAGGTCCCAAAGTGACAGAGAGGGAAAAGACATTACTGCTAGTGAAAGAGTTATCATTTGCATGGGGACCTAAGAGCTCCTTTGATCACAGCCACAAAACAGACAACTGCAGAGCTGATCCCATGGAGAGAAGCGAGGAAGCTGTTTTTATGCCCAGGCATAGCCCGCAGGTCGCCTCGGCTGCGGGGAAGGAAGCCCACCATAGAGACGGGCACTAGGAAGGGCTCGTGGTGGAAGAGACAGAGCTGGGTGTCCCTGGGCAAGGAAGCACAAAGTGGCACTGCCAAGGCTGGGCCAGATTCCCAGACTCCAGCGGAGTGTCCTGCTCATGGCCATCCAGCAGGGCCTGGTAGGGCTGCCCAGGGCCGCTGCCTCACTTGGCATTACAGTCAGAGAGGAAATGTGGATTTCCCTGAGCAGAGAGGAAAGGAGGAGGCTCCTGAGCACCACACTCATGTCCCTCCTTGCCTGCTACTTCCACCCACTCATGTTCCTACCCAGCGCCCACCGCGGTGACGGACAAAGCTGCCCGTCTTCCATTGCCACCGAGTCTCTGCTCTGCTGAGGACCCTGGGGTCTAAGATTATCTTTCCTAACAAAGCTTAGCAGAGAATTCATCTAACACCATGACAGCTTTGATGCTCAATGATTCCTGCTCCCTACGGCACAGGAAAAGGAAAATTACCTTGGAAAGCTCCTGCCCAGGCATACAGGTCCTACACGGGACGCATTTCCTGTGCTCATCCAAATATTCATTCTCTTGGCAGTTCATTGGGGCTGGAGAGGTGCCGGGAGCCTGGGGGAGGCAGAAAGAAAAAGCAAAGAGGTTAGAGCAAGTCTCAGTGTTCAAATCCAACGGCATGCCCTTTTCTGGAAGAAAGTTTCCGCCTTCGCTAGGACATTAGCCTGCATTTCTTACACATCAGGAATGTAGCTCTGGCAGGAGCAGCACACACTAAGCGCTGAGGAAGAGGAGGAGGGCTCCTTGGCAGGCTGCAGATGGATGTCTGTCCCTGCTGCCCAGAGCAGCCTTTAGCAGGGAGCCGACAGCGTTTCATTTGCCAAGATTAAGAGGGACACACCAATTACTGAGCCACTCGTCTGGCAAGAAATCAATGAATCCTGCTAGTTCCAACTGTGTTGCTGGATGCCCCAGACCATCAGGGGAAAAGCTCAGCCGCAGCTTGGGGATCCAGTGGATGAGCAGGGTCAGTCCGGCTGCTGTGCTCTGATGCCGACAGGGATCGGTGCCCAGCTCCGTCCTGCCCTGCTGCTCCAGCCTGGGGCACCACGGGCTGCTCCTGCTCTCACTCTGCAGGTTCCAGCTCCTTCAAGGACCCATTTTCAGCCGTGCTGGCGGACAGGCAGAACAAACATCCGTCCCCTGTCAAATGCCACCCATGGCCTTTGTAGGTGAACTGATGGCTCAGCTGAGACCAGAGGCAGAGCTGTCATGAGCCCCCGCAGAGCCACAGTTCCCACCTTCCCAATCGGGACTCAGTTCTGAACAAAGAACAACAGCTCAAACCCAAGCTACAAAAAAAGCAATTTATATCAAGTTTGGGGATTGTTGGCTCGTTTCTCTATCTGCTGGGTAGGCTCCAGCCTCGATGACAGAAGCAATATAACCCCCCCTTGCCCTTTAGTTAGCTTGTGAACACGCCACAGGAGAGCAGAGCACTTGAAAATGCCCTTTTCAAGGGCACTACGTGCAGGGGTATGAAACACCTGGGGAAACTCGTCACTGGGACCCCCGGGGTCTTGCTGGAGAGGAGCCAGGCAGGATGAGGGGCTCCCCACACAGCTCCAGCCCTGCGGCAGGAAGACAAGGTGGCAGCCCCGGAGCCCCGTGCACTCCCCGTGCCCTCCCGCTTGCTGCATCCCAACGGCTGCTGAACAGCACCGAGCGCAGAGGCCCCCGCGCTCCCATCCCTGCACCGCCCCGTCTGCCCTCCAGCCCGGGCAGCCTCTGCGAGTGGGTGTTGGGACGGGCTGGCCGGCCCGGCGAGCGGGATGCATTCCACATGACGTCTCCCCGGATAAGCAGGGAAAGTGAGTCACCGCGCGCTGCAGGTCGTGCTCGGGGTTGGCGGCTCATTTGCTGCGAGAAAGGCAGTGAAAGGCAGCGAGGGCTGGACGTGAAGACATACGGCGATGAGAAGCTCAGGGGACTAAATTTATCCCACAAGCATCTCAGGAGGGACGCGATCACAGCCTACAAATAGTGTAAGGACTACTGACACTATGGAATAAATAAAGGAAATTTGTCACCATCTCAGAAGGTGGCAAATGGGGAACTATGTGCCAGTGTCAAGGGAGAAACATTCAGGGCTAGTGTTAGAGACCAGCTGGAGGCCAAACACAGAGGAAGAAGAAAAGCAGGGCGAGAGGCCCCATCAGGGAGGACATAACTGCTCCCGAGGTTGGATAAGGTCCCGAGCCCAGACAGGACCTGTCTGCATCCCGGTTCCCATCCACCCCAAGGGGCCTTGGCTCTCTGCAAAGGACACAGCCCTGCTCATGCTGCTGGTCTGGAGTTGGAGATGACTAGTCCTTCCTTCCAAAAGGAAGGAATGAAATAACGTCGCAGGCAACAGAAAAGGAGCCAACGCATTGGAAATTCGAGAGCAACAGGGCCCCGATTTGGGTCTCTGGATGCTGCCACAGCACATGAGTCAGAGAGAAGGGAAGCCCTAGCTGAACCTGCCCACAGACACAATTCCGGCCCTGGTCTCTTCCCTGTGGGCATTAACCAGCTTAAAGCAGCTTCCCAAAAGTGAAGGCAGTGCAGGCTGAAGGAGCGGTGCACCGGGTGGCCTCGCACTGCAGCAGTGCCGGCAGAGCTGCGACGCCGCGGCCAGCTGCGACTCCAAGGCACGATACAGCGGGAGCCCGGCGGGCGCCTGGCGTGAGACCCAAAGCTTTGCTTGCTGTTGATCAGTACCAGAACCGAGACACTGAACCTGGAAGCACAGCGCCTGCCCATGCTGCCCATGGAGAGCAGCAGCCTCCGGCAGGCCCATCAGGAACCCAAGCAACGGTTCTGCTTAGCTGAGAGCAGAACCCAAACCCAAACCTGTCGCCGCTTTGGGGAACGGCACCCCGAGTCCAAGGTACAGGATCCATTTGCTAAAGGGGGACACAAACCCAGCCCAGTACCAGCCTGCACAGGAAGTAGAGCAAAGCAACAAGTGTGGGCACTGCTCCCAGAGGCATAAACCTTCCTACCTTGACAACGCCGTAATTTGTTAGAAGTCACCCCTTACAGTCACCTTTACAGCCTTCCCGGGCCAGCCTGCCAGGCAAGGCAGGCACTGTGTGGTCTCCTGCACGTTATAGGAATGCAGGCTGTGAGCGAGGGTCACCGTGCAACACAGCGCCGCTCGGCAGGGCCGCCCCACTCTCCCCAGCGGGCCGGCCGCTCATCCGCTGCCTCTTTCCTGTGGGAAGTTCATTTCCTGAGAATCCCAGCACTCGTGTGCCCAGCAGGGCCCTCCCAGCAGGGCTGCGCTGACACGGCACTCCAAAGGTGCTGGCCCGGCATCCCTTTGCCCAAGGAAGTCCAGGGAGAACCAGGATCGCCATGAGTTCCTCATGGCAATCTCACGTGTGGGCGAAGCCTTTCCCGACTGCCGGCACGTGCGGAGCCAGCGCCGCGGCCACACATCCCTGGGAGCAGCCTCAGGGCGCATCCTGCGCCGCCCGCACGGTGCTCCCGGCACGGCTGCTCTCCGCATGCACGTGCAGGCTCTGCAAGGACACGGGCAGGTACCTTCCCTGAGAAGAAGCGACCTGCAGCACAGCGGAGCGGGACCTGCCCATTCCCAGGCAGGCACCGTCGCGCATCATGTCAGGACGAGCACTAGGAGCCAGCAGGCCGGCAGTGAGGAGCTTCATCGGAGGAGAAACACCAGCGAGCAGCTGGTGTGCGCTGAGACACAGAACTAGGAACCAAACTTGCGAATTGGGCTGAAAATGCAACGGAGGACAGAAATCCCAGACACCAATGTGGGAAATGCACCAGCCACAGCCCCTGTCCCTACCTGGGCCCCATTCGCAGATCCCTCGGAGCGCTTTGCAAGGCCCCGCTGCACCATCCATCCCAGATCCTGCTGGGGCTCCGGAGGCCTCCAGGCAGCCAAAGGGTGGCTTAGAGACGAGAAGGACAGAGGAGGCCAAGAGGAGGAAGAGGTGAACGTGACCAGGGCCGCGGCCGCCTGGCTCCGTTCGGGTCTCGCTATGGTCTCTCGAGCCAAAACTAGGGATTTCAGTGCAGCTTTGCCTGACCCTCCCAAGCATCAACACCCTGGATGGACACTCAGGTGTGACCACAAGAGAGGCCTCCAAAATGCTTTGCTTTTATAAAACTTTTTTTTTTTTTAAAGAAAATATGGTACTGATAACTATGACAATTGTTTATAACAAACTTTTTAATAAAAGCTTGCATTTTTACCTGTTCCCTCTTCCACTCCCCTAAACTAGTGCTCGCTCTCTTACAACAACTCAGAGCACCCAGAAAGGGCTATTCCTTTTCCTCAAGTGCTACCATTGTCCTAGACACAATCCCAAAGATAGGAAAAAGCACCATTTGGGTGAGGAGCAAGTATTGGGCAGCACAGAACGGCTGGTCCAGGCCTCACCCAGCACTGTCCAACTTCCCCCCAGCACGTGGGACACCATCCAACACAGAGTGTGCTCCTGCGCTTCCCAGGGCCGGACACACCACTACCTGCAACTGCCACGTCCAGGGAACACCTCCCTGCACGGAAATTGCTGTGGAAGCAGCAAACCCACCCCAGAGCCCAGGTCAGCCCAGCGCGAGGCTGTGCTTTGCGGCAAAGCGGCTGCACCAGGCCCAGCAAGGGGGATGCCCAAGGCAGCACATGCAGCGCTTGGGCCGAGCGGGCTCCATGCACGAACTGCAGCCCGCGCAGGCTCCAGGCACGGCCCGCGCAGCGAGGGGACGCAGACGAGGTCCA